AAATATGAGAACAAAAGTGTCCTCCAGAACTTCAGAACAGGATATTCCAGTGTTGTTGTAACAGTCTAATTTTTGCTGCATTTTGAAGAAACACCCAAACAAAAGTATTTGTCCTCTTTTACTCATCCTCCTATTTGAGGTTCCTTCATATCTTTAATTGGACATTTTTCAAACTTTTATTGATAAGTACCTTGTAATAATACTTTTAGAAATGGAATCTAGAAAGGAAAAAAAATTAGTTCAGATGTTAATCTTTCAGTTCTATTCTATGTTTAGGTGTAGCCCATTGTATAACTTTGAGACATAAGCATCACTCAACTTCCATTATGAAACATCATTCCTCTCATCCAAGATTTGTCTTATACAGACCCAATACTGCTACTATTGACATTAGAAAGGTTCAACTACAAATTGTAGAGCTTTTTCAAGTAGAGCATTTCTCTCTTGTGTCATCAGCTTTATTTTTCCTTTTTTAAGTTACAGCCCATCTCTTGCCATAGCCTCACAAAGTTCACCTCTTTACTATGTAAATACATCTTTAAGTTAATGTTCAGATAAAACAAATCTCTCTTAGAATTTTTACATAGTTTTGCTTCATGCTATTCATCAACTTGATGATATCCTCTCTTTTGCATAAGTCATAGCCTGTCCTTTAACCAAACAAGGAGAAAACCTGAAACTTGAAACTTAACTTTTAAGGAACATCAGTAATTGTTATGGAGTGAGTAATTCTCATTTGTGGTTTGTACAGGGAGTTAGGTTTGCAGAAGAGCTTGCTACTTCATGCGTTGGGAAGAGCAGAGTCCCTAAAATAGAGTTCTGAATTTCAGAGTGTGTGGCTTAAATTCGTACTCTGGTGCTCTGCTTTTAGCTGCACAAGCTGGGAAACACAGATTATCCCACAGAATATCTCTGATGTCTCTGAGGACTGTGACTGTTTAACCATGAAATCTTAGGTATCATTGACTTGGATATTAAGAAGACATTTTTATAGTGAGGGTGATGAGGCACTGGAACAGTTGCCTAGAGAAGTTGTGGAGGCTTTATTACTGGAAGTGTTCAAGGCCAGGTTGGATGGGGATTTGAGCAACCTGGTTTAGGGGAAGGTGTCCCTGCCCATGGCCCCATGGCAGGAGGGTTGGAACTGGATGGTCTGTTTACTAATTGAAACAAACAGTTACTTCAAAATGTATAATTCTTTGGGATAATTAAAATATTTTTAACATGAGGATCAACACTTCGATTGTATTTACTTATTGCTTCCAAGACTGTGCAGAGTGGCCATTTCAAGGCTTCTGAGGTGTCATGGAAAATAGAGATGTTACTGGTTTGGGTGGGAAGGAATGAGGAGCAAAGCATTAGTGTGGGTTGTCTTGGAAAATTGTCTAATTTTTTATCATCAAAACTTATGGCACTGCAATTTCGAATATAAACTCAGAATAACCTTATATTATACTTTTTGATATCATTAGTAGAAAGAAAAAATATTTCAATAACTCAATATAGTTTCGGACCAAGGAGCATGTACTAAAATGGCTAAATTAAGGGAAGGTTGAGATTCTCAAGGGTAACAAAAATCTTCCTGACCTTATTCTCAATGCATTAATGATCTGCCAGTGAATTTCATTTCTGTTTTGCATTTCTTAAGCTTCATCATCTGATTTGGGATGGCCTACAAATCTCTGCCTGCAACTGGCAGTGAGGCAAAGGTAGAAATCCGTCTTTTGCAGTTCGTACCTCTGTAGGTGAGAGTCTGCTCAGATGTGTTTGCTCTCTGAATATTTTTGCGAGTGGGGAAACTAATCTGGGGTGATGAATGACCCACTCTAGTTTTTCTGTTAAGCTTTTCCCACTTGTTCAGGTCCAGTGGAAACACAATCTGGTCCATGCAGAATTCTCCCATGAGACCAATGCAGAGGAAATGGTCCTGCACTGCACGCTCCAACCTTTAGGGTTTGAGAGGGGTTCTTCCCTGATAATGTGGAATTTGTCTCAACCCACACATGTACTCTGTGTGTATAAACAGCCTACTGGTTTGCTTTTCTTAAAAAAAAAAGGGGGGAGGGGAAATTTCTTAGTTTGCTTCCTTTTCATCCTCTGATCACCCAAGATCATGGGTTTTGAATGGACCTTCCTTCAAATCTTCTCAGTCATGTTTATCCTATACTCATTACCAGTGTTATCTGTTTTGAAAACTGAAATCAAAGTTGACTTATTTGTATCACTTCTGTTTTAGCCTGTAGGATTTGCTCACTCTCCTAGAAACATGTTGGAGAATCCCTCTTCCTTTTATCTTGAAGTCTCAGAAAGAGTAAAGCTCTTCCTTTCTTAAGAAAGAGCGAAATGCTCCAGACTGCAATGCCCAGAGGCATCTTCCCTTTAAAAATACACTGGAATCGTCTTCTTAACAGAAAGAAAAAACTCTGATATTGTTTTCAACTGAGTATATTTTACTCTAAAATGTCTACTGCTTACAAGGGTTCTGTGCATTGCTGGTATCTCAGCTACTACCTGACATATATGCTAAGCACTATATATTCATAAATCACTTGGATTCTCACCTTATCCTAAAATATTGAACTACAGAAGTCTGATGTTAAATACTCTTTGGTATTTGGTGTTCAGATTTTTAATTCATTAGGCAGTGTGCTTGTATTTTTAGTGAATTTCTCAAATACAATTATTCATGTTGTGGTTTGGTAATTGCAGTAACTAACGCTTCTATAATTATAAGGCTTTTGTTTTGCTGGGAAATGCTTCCCATATCATCATCTCCTCTTTGTGTTGGAACATGATGTACAATAAAACCGTATGAGGGTTCAACTTACAATGGTGTTAACACGTTAATTTAATTTTTTGCTCAAATTTTTTTTAAACTTATGACAACTTACTATCAATAAAATATTTTTTAAACAATGTTTAAAAGAAAAAAACCTACTTGATTTATATGGTATGCTTTGAAGCTACTGTAGACAGATAGAAAACATCTGGTGACACATTCAGTGGTAGGTCAATAGTTACAGATGGTCTGTTTTTTACAGCTGTCATCCAGCTTTGCATGCAGAGTGACTACAGTGGAAAAATCTTTTGCTGAATGAATAAACAAAACAGCACAAGGAGGCCAGCAGGCATATATGTTTCTACAAGATGGGAAATTAAATAAGCTATAAAAATTTAAACCAAGACTAGTGTTTAAAATGTTCATTATGTTCTGGTTTGGTTTTTATCCCTTAGATCTTTCTATGTGGTTATTGAAGTGATAAGCAAATAAATTCAAGACTATTTTAGGACTGATCCTCTGCACAAGTTTAGGGTATTGGCTTCAGCAATGACTGGTGGTTATATTGTTGGCTTTTAAGGCTTCAAAATCCATGTTAGATTTGATGTAATGCTCATGCAGTCTTGTAACAGAGCCACATTGAATATTGAAGAATGTCGTATTTTTGTAGAATATAAATGTTGGGAAATGTAAGAGAATTTCAAAAATGGCAGTATTCTTTTTGGTTTTTAAAGATTTAAAAAATGGGGTTCTACATTCTTCATCAACTTCTTTTCCTCTATAGATGATAGGATGTTATATTCAGCTGTAGTCAGACATTATGCAAAACATCAGAAGAATCTTAAATCTGAGGATAAAGAAAAAGAGGTGTGGGGGGAAAGCGAAGAGGAGGATGAGGCTAAATGAGTGTTAAAAGCATGGTGAATGTTGCACATTAACTCCATTTTAAATGAGAAAAAAACCCAAACCCACAAAGAAAAGAACTCTGTTAGAAGTCCAAATGCACCAAGCCAGGTAGCTCTGATAAAGATACTTATTTTAATGGAAATGTGCAGTTCTTGATATTCAAAATATTTTTATCATTTCACTCAGAGTGCATGAATATTGATCATATGTTGAAGTGTGCCTGTGTTTGGTTTTAGTAGAGCTCAGCCTCTAGAAAGAAACAAGCAGATTTCTAGGTTCAGTCACTTGTAAGGCTCTTTAATCCTATCCACTGATGTTGAAAGCTGTTGAGCAGGAATAAAAAGGAACAGGGAGGTGGATTATTTGGCTCAGTTTAGTCTGTGTAATACAGTGTGGTCTGAGTTTGTTTCTCAAAGGCTGCTGAAACATTTAAAGGTGGATAAAAGTGGTGCTCTGACTATGCTTTTTAGAGGATCTGGATCGTTTTTCCCCATCCACTTGCTCATGTGCATTTTATATTCTAATGCTATGATTGGACTGTCACTGAGGGATTTTTTTCTTCCCTCTCACCCCATCCCCCCCTTCCTGCTTCTCAGTGGTTTGGCTTGAAATGCAGACTGCTTGTTGCAATACCCTCACGCTGTCTTGCCCAGCTACACGGGATCTGAAAAGTGCTTAGCTGTATTTGCTGCCAAAGAGCTTGCCTAGTCATGCATAAACCTGCTTTAAATGCCATTTGGTTGATATAGATGTTGGCATTCTGTGTTGTCTCCGTGATGCATTTCCTTGTGTCTGTGCCCCTTGACCTGTTTCCGTCAACTCCCAAGTTGAAACTCTGGTTTCCTTCATCATCGAGGGCTTAAAAGTTAAGAACGAAAAGAGCATTTTCTCTCCCTGCGAGCTTTGCGATGCAAAATTGTGGCTTTCCAGCTTCCTTTGAGGTGAACACATTTCTGTCATTTTATGGGAATCGTGTGCCTGTGCCCGTCCAGGATACCTGCGTTGGCTGGGGGGGTTGTTCAGTGAAAGGGCAAAAAAGTATTTGACAGTCAAAAGGCAGAAAACAGCAGCTGTTTCGGAGCATTTCTACACTGGCTTGTCTGAGCTGTGCCCTGTGCTTTGCATCTCTCTGTGCTTAAAAAGCAGTTTGTTGTGAAATACCACATTACCTAATATGTTTTAAGAACTTTATGGGTTTTTTTTTTAGTTCTTTAGAATACGTGTAGATCATCTTTCTGGAAAGAGGTGCCAAAAAAAAAAAAAGAAGAAAACCGGTGTGTTTTACAGTTTAATAATTTTATCTTTCTGTTCACAGGTGAAAATAAGTTTATAAAAGACTGAGCATTTCTGACTGGTGGCTGGTGTGAGGAGACCATCACCAAGCTGTGTGGGGACGTTCTTTTGAGCTTCCACTCTTATGTCTCTAATGGACAAACACAAAGTGAAGCGACAACGTCTGGATCGCATATTTGAAGGTTGGGCATTTCAATTTCTAATGTTAACTGTGTTAATTTTGTGGATTACTGATATTTCTGAAGGCTGGAACTCTTTTTTTTCGGTCATTCAGTGTATATTTAATTGGTTACAGTTCCTGTTGAGATGATACTGACTGTGCACAAATGCTGAAAACAGATCTAGGCAAATAAAAGCAAGTAGAGTGTGAACTATTCTACAGTTGAGTTTGCTTTCATCTTAGTATTTTACAACATTCTGCTCAGACATTGTGAAAGATTGTGGTTTTATATAAAATAACAATCTTAAAAGGCTAAGATGACCACATAGTGCTCTCAAGGGTCTTTATCTACAGGCTTGCTCCATGTAGATTGATTTAACAGCCTGTATCTGATCCTTGAAAGGAAGTAAAAAAATCAAGTGAAAGCAAAATATAAAAAAAAAAATTGCAGAAGGACCCCAAACTTTAATGAATATTAATAAAAATAGCCTGAATTCTAGTGAAAGGGAGGTAATAGTTTGGGTATGTCATTTTACCTTAAGTCACAAATGACAAATTTTATATTCGTGGTATTCTCTGCAAATGTGCTTTTAGAGCTGGTGTGAAAGCAGGTCGAAGGATAAGGTGTACTATTTATAAGAATATTCATGAATGATTTGGACTAAATTTTTATACTAAGATCTTAGATCCTCTTTAAAATGCAAGAAAACAGTTAATTTCATTTTGACACGATGGGTGTCAGTGTACAGACTCGTGGACACATGGTCTCTGTATTGTGTCTAAGGCTGAAGCAGTGAACTGCAGGTGAAACATGTTCTCCTCCACACATTGGTCTTGAGACTCTTATGGCAGCTGTGTCGTGTGAGCAGATGATTTCTTTGTCTTTTCCCCTTCCTTTATGCCAATATGAGTGTGACCATATAATGTGCTACATTGAGGAGATGACTCATACTAAAACCACCTTTTTTTGTTGGTATATTTTCCATTTAGGTAAATTCCTTGGTCCAGGTCACTGTTCTGCTGACAAAGCAGTTGCATGGAAGGGGCAGTTGGAAAATGTCAGTGGGGTTGCTGGGACTGTTTAGCCTAATGTGGCCAGAGAAGGAGACATTTTATCCAAGTATCAAAGGGTGCAGTTCCACATTGGGTTTGGGTGATTAATCTCCTTGTTAGTCTCTTCTAAAACTGGCCAAGCCCAACCATGGTTGTCAGGTCCCACCTAGACTGGTTGGCCAAGTGGCCAGTTGAATCTGCTCACTGGAGACTAATCCCTGCTCAGAGAAATGGGGAACTGACTGCTGAGGACAGGGAAATTGTGAAAGCTGCCCCCACTTTCTGGACAGCTCTACTGTTGGATCAGCTAGAAATGATCAAGGTGTGTGCTGATGCAATGCATGGTCATCTTCTCTGCTCCCAGTCTCGGGTCCTCTTCCTACAGTCTCTGTATCTGACTCTTCAATAAAAAATGGAGGATATTAACCCTTTTTGATTGGTTGGTTTTGGCCTGTGTTAGTCAGATGAATCAGCAAATTGTGAAGAGGAATGAGAAACCTGTCCCTTTTGATGGCAACCAGCAGTCAGATCAGCTCAACCCCCTCGGTGCAATTTCAGCCTCCTTGTGGGCTCACGTTGAGCAGCAGAACAACTTAAGAGGGCAAGAAAGTCTGTGATGATGTGGGAAGGAATGTTGCCAGGGACAGAGGTGACAGACCAGCAGCCACTGTGACTGAAATAGCAGTGGCTTCCCCCAGGCTTCGTGCTCACATCTAGTGATGCTGTTTAATCAGCGCCTTTTGTCTGTCTTGTTTTTCCCAGCTCTGCACAATTCACTGCGTCCTACGGTGAAATCTGTGCGGCCATGCAGGGCAGGGAATTGATCCAGTTGGAAAATAACGTAGGGAAAAAAGTTGTTTTAGCCACCTCTGCTTCCTAATCCCATTTACCATGTGCTAGACAAATGGCCAGGTTGGGAAAATAGAGTGGGAAGACAAGGCAGAAGATGGTCAGGAGGAGAAGAGGTGAAACAATGGATAAGGAAACATGCTTGGAATTTTATGGTTATGGGAACCCAATTTGGCTCTTTAAAGTGTTTGAGCTGTGTGCTGCTCTTGAGTGTCTGTGTGCCCAAATGTTCTTTGAGGCTTGTAAGCACATCTCTCTGGTGGATCATTTTAAATTGCTATCCCTGCAATTGCGTCAAGTGGGATAAAAACTAGGGGGCTGGTTTGTTATAGAATGGCTTTTTTATACATATGGTCCTGTTCAGGTTTAAAAATTAAATATTCAGAACAGTTCTCTAATGTATGTGCCTTTGATAACATAACCTAAGTATTTTATATTTTGGAAATATGCATAATGTTTTACAAAGCTCAGGAAATGTAATGCGCTATTATATAGGTGGTTTATCTTCTCTGTCAGCTTTTTTGTTTATCAATCTGTACATAGCTTTCTTCTTTTGAACTTTCCCTCAGAAGAGAATTATTTTTCAGGTGCATTTTATTTTTATTGCAAGTTCACTTACAAATAGGCTGCAATAATTTGCTAACTACTACTAACTATGTATTTTTTTATAAATGGTTGAACATAATATGTGATGGGCAGACATTAATATATTACTTTATCCATAAAGAAACACTAGTGCCATTCTGGTGGTGCCATATAGCATTTCATCACCGTCTGTATCCCTCTTGAAGGAGGAGATATAACAACTTGAAGTTCAGGTTTTGAAAAATGAACCAGATCCCCAAACTGAAATGCTCCCACTGGGAACATGACCCAGGATTGCACACAGCTTTTCCTGTGGGGTTCGTGGGTTACCACATGTGCTCTGGGAAGTTGGATAACTGTACAGGTACTATGTTATTGGAGTTGATCTGCTTCCCTATGCCTTTAGGTAATTTGCACACTTGCTTGTAGTAACTAATCATGCAAATTAAGCAAACTGAACAGGCAGCACTGGATTTCCTATTACCTTGTGAGCCAAGGATAGTATGGCAGTAGTACTGATAAATTTCAGTTGATACTCAGTGCAAAAAAACCCTCCTGTTTCTGTTACTTTGGGAGCAATTAGTCCTCTCTTAATGTAGCTGAGTGAGTGATTTTGTCTCTGAGGTACCTGTGATTCCCCTCAGTGACTTCTTAAATATCAAATTGAATATTTACTTTTAATCCCGAAGCTGCATGCAATTATATTTTCGTGCACATTTCAATGCTGTTGAAGATTGTCCCTTGAAAAAGCCAGATGGTAAATTCTGGTTTCTAACTTCCTCCAGTAGCTGTGAATTATACTTAGGCATAAGGACATGATTTGGGGCGCTCTGAGATGCTAATATTAATCTCACTTCACAATTTATAAAATAACATTTAGGATTCTTCCCTTGAAGATAAATGGTATCAAGGCATGTGAAAGCTTAATTAGTTACTGATTATATTGTTCTTTGTCCCCCTCTCCGGTGATGCTGGTGATTGCAAAGCATAATTATAGTAGTATACATTTGGCAGAACAGTTGGAAGTGTCACAGTGCAAAAATAAAATGTGTTCATTTTGTGGGTAATTTGAAAAATTCAAAATGTTTTTGGCATTTTGAAAAGTTGTTATCTCTAATTAAGGTATTATTGTGCTTTATATTGTAGCAAACTGTAAACAATGCTGTGTATTTGCTTATATTCTAGAAATCCTTAATTAAATGTGTGTATGTTTCACTGACCCTTCCTTGGAAGTTACCTTGGAGTGTCTGACCTCTGTTGCATTTGCTGGGCACCAATAGATGTAGCAGGAGGGAACAGGAGGCGACTGCATGTGGGGAAAATTTTGCATTGTCTGAATTGTCTGTGAAGGGGCTTGATGAGCACAGTGAATTTGCTCTAAATACATCATATTGTATAATACATAGTGCTCAGGCAGCCACTGCTTTCCAAGCTTTAGGGAACTCTTTGCAGGGGGAGCTTAGGGACACTGGTGGAACTGGGAGGAGGAAAGGGGTGTCTCCTCTCTCATTCCACCTTGCTTGTTTACACAGGTAATAGGGGTTAAACTACAGCACAATACTGGAAATGAAACTGCAAAACTGAGAGTGACTTTTCCAGTTTGATAATTGCTTGGAACCAGAAATTTCTTCCCAGAGCACCTCATGTGATGTTTATACAGCAAAGACTGCAGCATGTGCAAGTACAAGTCTGTGAAGACCCTATCTGCCCCCAGACAGATGTTCTTTTTAAAAGTTTTTTTCTAATTCTGCTTTTAAGGAGGCAAAAAGCGTCTTAGCACACCTGAGAATTCTCAAACCTTTATTTCAAGTCTTTTCTTTTTCCTTTTTATGCAGCACTAGTATTCATCTGCAGGTTATTCTTTATACACCTTGCCTCATCCTTTTTAAAAGTGCCCAGAAGAAAACTTGAAATGTTTTTTAGCTGTTTTAACAGTGCCACTTTGTTACCTAAGGAAAGAAGGGTTGGCCAGGAATTGAATCATGAATTGGAAAATAAAGTGCATATTAATGGGATGAATTTCTGAAATTTCAGATAAAATCTCTCATCTTTGCTTTTATGAAGGGCAGCCTTTCTTTGGGAACGTTTGATTACTGGCAAATACCCAAGTGTGACACATTTTGAAGGACAGTAAAAGTGCACGATAAATGAATAGTTTCTTTTCAAGGACATAGCCTAGGCTTTCTTTCCCTGTAAGAAAACATCCATGTTTTTAGAGCTTCGTTTTTTGCTTGTTGTGCTATATTACATGAGATTCAATAAGATGAATCTTCCTCAGGGTTGATCTGGTATGGTGATAGTTCCAGGAGGAATGCAGAGAAAAAAAAGCAGGTATGAATTGAATTTTGCTGTCTTTCCAAATTGATAAAGAAATCTCAAAATACAGAGTGACTTAGTTTAAAAAGTGCATTCTCTTTCCTGTTTTTTTTTTTTTGCTTGTGCATGTAATAGCTTGGCTTCTTAACAAGTGGAAAGTACCAGATTGACAAATACCAAGTGTTTTTTCATGACCACTGATGGGTCCTATCTGGGTGG